GGAGGGAGGGGGGAAAGCGGGAGGGAGGGAGAAGAAAACTGAAAAGACCAGTAACTTCTGGTCCCTCCAGATTTAAAGAGTCAGAGCTCTTCAAAACCACTTGAACTCAGAAGGTACCATGATGGAAAAGAGCAAGGGGGAAAAGAAGAAAGCACCTATTTTGATTGGCAAATTAAGCTACACAAGAAGCTAGAAAGAGACAAGAATAAAATGACTGCTTCACAGAGCCAAAGGAAAGGGCTTCAAACCCAACAAGGAAAATAGCCTGGGCTGACATAAGCATGACACCTCTGCTCCCCACCCCCTTGCAGATCCTCAATTCCAGCGAAGTTTTCAGTTTCATTTGGAAAGCATGCTGGAAAGGCTGTTCAATATGGAAGATGTACATACTTCATGATCATCCCTCCATAAAACATGTATTTTGAAAGGGTCACGGACTTTGAAGCGATTTAAGTGAGGAAAAATGTATTATGTATGCTAAGAGTAAGCTCAGACTCTGGCTTCTCTAATGGCTGCCGAACAGGCTGATTAATATGGAATAATGTACTATATTTATATGCAGACTTTTGTGCACTGACAACAGAGCACTGTTAAGTCAGAGTAACCCTGAGCCTCCTGGAGTTCACATTTTTTCTTTCTTTTTTAAATATTATTTATTATTTTATCATAAAAAATAAAATACAAAACAGTAAAACAAACAAACAAGATGAAACAAAACAAAAGCATACATTCAACCCTAATAAGAACAAAAAAAGAAAAAAAAATAGGAAGAAAAATTGATCACTGCTTTTTCTTTTCTTTCAGCACCCAGCCAGGGTGGATCCCACATGTTAAATGGAGTTCACGTTTTTTCTGATCACTTTGCCCAAATCAGAATTACTGCATTATTTTTTTTAAAGAGGTAAGAACTGGTTTAACACATCAGCTTTATTTTTCACAGTTTTTCACATTTGCAGCATCTCCATGATCATGTGATCAAAATTCAGATGCTTGGAAATTGGTTCAAATATATAACCGTTTCTGTGTCCCAAGGTCATGTGATCCTCTTTTACAACCTTCTGACTGTCAATGGGGAAGCCAGATTCATTTACCAACCATGTTACTAATTTACCAACTGCAGTGATTCACTTAACAGTGTGGCAAGGAAAATCATAAAATGGAGCAAAACTCATTTAACTGTCCCACTTAACAACAGAAATTTTGGGTGCAACTGTGGCTGTAAGTCGAGGACTATCTGTAGTCACTCAATAAGATAGAAAATGGAGAACTTCAGGAGAACTTCTATCTATTCTTAAATGACCCTAGTGCAGCAATCCTCACTTAACAAGTGCCTCTCTTAGCAATTATTTGAATTAAGATGATGTTGAAAAAGTACCATTATGACTGGCCTTCACATTTATGACTCTCTTAGCATTCCCACAGTCACATGGTGGAGATTTGGGTGCTTTGTAACCAGAAAGATTTTCACTCATGGCAGCTTTCTGCAGTCCCATCACTGCCACTTGCACACCTTACAGCCATCTTCTGACAACTGGAGTCAATGGAGAAGCCAGCAGTAAAATTGCAAGTCGCCATCATCAGATGTCATGCTTAAGGAGGACAAGGTCCTAAGCCCATGACGGCCACGTGGTGTCTTAATGATTACGTTGCTTAGTTACGAAGTTGCCTGTTCCAATTATGGTCGTTAAGCTAGAGCTACTTGCACTGAAACTAAATGCCAAAGCATCTATTAAGCTCCGCCTACGGTATCATCAAGAACTAAGCAAATGCCTCATTGGAACCGTCCATACTTATTACAATGCTTCTGCATGCGCGTGCCGGAGCGCGCGCCCTACCTGATCCCACGCTCACCTTGAAAAGCGCGTAGTGAAGGTACTGGTAAGGAGTGCGCCGCTGAAAGTCTCGCAAAGTCTCGGTCGGCGGGTAGGTGAGCTGAAAGACAGGAAGATAGCCCTTACATCTCCGCAGGCAGGAGGCGCGCTGGAGGACGAGCCCGAAGAATTCCATCTCCTGGTCCTGGAGCCACTCGCCGGGCGTTCCCCCTGAAGCATTTACGCCGCATCCCGCGCTGTCTTGTGAATCTGCAAGCTCTGCAAGTGAATCGCCTTTCAGAAGCTCCGAAGGCGACGGGCTGTTCCACGCGCCCTTTGCAAGTTCTGCAAAAAGTGGGCCGGCGTCTAACTTTTCGCTCCCCGCGCATTCCTTATGGCAGTGCGCCTCGCTGTCTTGAAGCAAGCGGTGAAGGCGCAAACTCGCCTCCAAGTAGCGGATGCTCTCCCTCCAGTTCTCGCCCTCGTACTGCTCTAACGCATAGGCGTATGCGCTCTGCAGAGGCATCAGCTCAGCTTCTGGAAAGCCGCGGAAGCTATATTTTTCGTATTGCGCGCCGACTGTAGGCGCCGACGCTATTAAGAGTAGGAGAGGCAGCAGGAACCCCCATCGTCTCCGCTCCATGCCGTCCCTGCGGCCGGCGACTCTGTTCCTCTGACCAGACCAGCTATTTGGAGGCCCATCAGGAGTCTCTGGGAAGCAGGGGGAAGGCAGACGGGACAAACCCATTTGGATTCCGCAGGGTCTTAAGCGCGCTCTCATATAGTTCCTACGCTAAAAGAGGGGCCCGCTTCCAGTAATTCTTTCCTTTTAAAGGTGAAAAACGTCTGGTGTGTTTGTTTTTAATTCCATGAGTAAAACGAGGCAGGAAAAATGTGGTGATTGTTTGGCTTCATTATGAGCCAAACCAAAGTGCACTTTAGTCCCAAATGCACAAAACAAAAAACCAACTTTCTTCAGGCTTCAGGGAAAACACACAAAATGTGTGAAATATCTATCACTTTTTCCAAAAAATCAAAATAAGATAGAACAGTTAAAATAAATATAAAACTGAAGCAAGTCAGCTGTAAAATAGAAACAATGACAGAGAACAAGATGAAAGTCAATATTCCCAGAAGTCTGAAGATGTACACTTGAACCATCTTTAAGTATGTTAGATTATAATAAGTCAATTGGCAATGCAGATTGGGAATGATAAGAGATTCTAGGCTGATACATGATTAGTCAGACAAGTCATTCTTTTTCAGTTTCTTCTTTTTTCTGAATGGGCATCCAACCATGTCTCTGCTTCAATTATGCTTTTGAGAATTCAAGATGGACTTGCCAGAAGCAAAATATATTTTTAATACAACACAGATTGAAGAGTCACAGGAGAACATAAGAAAAAGACAATTTTAAATAATTCTTGTATGCTTCATAAACTTTACAATGTAACTTTTGAAATAAATTGTCATATAAATATATTTTTGCAAATATCTTAAATTACAAATTGTAAATCAGCATACATAATATTTTCAAGTGGTATTCTCTCGTTGTGGAGCTAATTTAGCATAACTATCCTGGCATAAAACAAAAAAAATTCCAGATGTAAAGACCAAAGTTTGAGTAGTTATATGCATAGCCAACTTCTCTTATTTAAAGCAATGCAAATTCTATTGTTTCACTTTGACTTAAAAGTAATAAAAAACAGTTTCTGGCATTACTAAACCAACACAAGTAAAATCAAAACATGTGGGTGAGAGTGGATATATTGGATAACTACAACATATGAATTTACATGCCTTCTATAAGCTGTTAAAATTGGCCTAACAAATCTATCTTAACCATATAATGGCACACGCAAAGTAAAATAGGTGCATACCATTCAGACCTCCTTCATGGATTACTGTCTTGTCGTGGCGAAGGGGCTTGCATAACTCAATGAAGCTATGAGCTATGCCGTGCAGGGCCACCCAAGACGGACAGGTCATAGCAGAGAGTTCTGACAAAATGTGATCCACTGAAGAAGGAAAAGGCAACCCACTCCAGTATCTTTGCCATGAAAACTCCATGGACAGTACCAAAAGGCAAAAAGATATGACGCTGGAAGATGAGCCCCTCAGGTCGGAAGGTGTCCAATATGCTACTGGGGAAGAGCAGAGGGCTAGTACTAGTAGCACCAGAAAGAGTGAAGTGACTGGGCCAAAGCTGAAAGGATGCTCAGCTGTGGATGCATCTGGTGGTGAAAGGAAAGTCCAATGCTGTAAAGATCTTTTCTGCATAGGAACCTGGAATGTAAGATCCATGAATCAAGGCAAGCTGGAAATGGTCAAACAAGAGATGACAAGACTGAACATCGACATCTTAGGAATCAGCGAACTAAAATGGACAGGAATGGGTGAATTTAATTCAGAGGACCAGGTATACTACTGCGGGCAAGAATCTCTCAGAAGAATTGAAGTATCCTTCATAGTCAATAAAAAAATAGGAAAAGCAATACTGGGATACAATGCCCAAAATGACAGAATAATCTCAGTGTGAATCCAAGCAAACCATTCAATATCACAGTAGTCCAAGTCTATGCCCCAACAACTGGTGCTGAAGAGGATGAAATTGACCGGTTCTATGAAGCCCTACAGCACCTTATAGAATCAACACCAAAAAATGATGTCCTTATCATCATGGGGGATTGGAATACTAAAGTAGGAAGCCAAAAGATAACTGGAATAACAGGCAAGTTTGGCCTTGGAGTACAAAATGAAGCAGGGCACAGGCTGATAGAATTTTGTCAAGAGAATACGATGGTCATAGCAAACACTTTTTTCCAACAACCCAAGAGACGGCTCTACACATGGACATCACCAGACAGTCAACACAGAAATCAGATTGACCGTTTGCTCTGCAGCCAAAGATGGAAAAGCTCTATACAGTCAGTAAAAACAAGACCAGGAGCTGACTGTGGCTCAAATCATGAGCTTCTCATTGCAAAATTTGGGCTTAAATTGAAGAAAGTACGGAAAAACACTAGGCCTCTCAAGTATGAACTAAATATACAGTAGAGGTGACAAATAGATTTAAGGAATTAGATCTGATAGACAGAGTGCCTGAAGAACTATGGACGGAGGTTTGCAACATTGTACAAGAGGTAGCAACTAAAACCATCCCAAAGAAAAAGAAATGCAAGAAAGCAAAATGGCTGTCTGAGGAAGCTTACGTTTATCGACTCCTTTCTTCCCTTCGCTTTCCGTTCCCTCTTTCTCTTTCTATGTGGGTTAACTTACGTCTTAAGGTCTCTTATCGATCTTCTCTATTCTTACGGGAGAATTTTGAACAGTGCAAAGAAATAGAAGAAAACAATAGAATAGGGAGAACCAGAGATCTCTTCAAGAAAATTGGAGATATGAAGGGAACATTTCATACAAAGATGGGCATGATAAAGGACCAAAATGGCAGGGACCTAGCAGAGACAGAAGAGATTAAGAAAAGGTGGCAAAATTACACAGAAGAACTATACAAGAACGAGCTTAGTGTTCCTGATAACCACGATGGGGTGGTCACTGACCTCAAGCCAGACATCCTAGAATATGAAGTGAAATGGGCCTTAGGAAAGCTGAACAACAACAAAGCTAGTGGAGGTGACAGTATTCCAGCTGAACTATTCAAAATCTTAAAAGACGATGCAGTAAAAGTGCTACACTTAATTTGCCAGCAAATTTGGAAAACTCAACAGTGGCCACAGGATTGGAAAAGGTCAGTTTACATTCCAATTACAAAGAAAGGGCAATGCCAAAGAATGTTCAAACTATCACACCATTGCACTCATTTCACATGCAAGTAAAGTTATGCTTAAAATCCTACAAGCTAGACTCCAGCAGTATGTGGATCGAGAACTTCCAGAAGTACAGGCAGGATTTCAATTTGCTGCTGGGGGGAAAGCTATGGCAAATCTAGACAGCATACTAAAAAGCAGAGACACCACCCTGCCAACAAAAGTACATATAGTCAAGGCCATGGTTTTCCCAGTTGCAATGTATGGCTGTGAAAGTTGGACCATAAGAAAGGCTGAGTGCAAAAGAATTGAGGTCTTTGAACTATGGTGCTGGAGAAGACTCCTGCGAGTCCCCTGGACTGGAAGGCGATCAAACCGGTCAATCCTAGAAGAGATCAACCCTGACTGCTCTTTAGAAGGCCAGATCCTGAAGTTGAAACTCAAGTACTTTGGCCATCTAATGAGAAGGAAGGACTCGCTGGAGAAGAGCCTAATGCTGGGAAAGTTAGAGGGCAATAGAAGAAGGGGATGACAGGGAATGAGGTGGCTGGATGGAGTCACTGAAGCAGTAGGCGTGAGCTTAAATGGACTCCAGAAGATGGTAGAGGACCAGAAGGCCTGGAGGAACATTGTCCATGAAGTCGCGATGGATTGGACACGACTTCGCAACTAACAACAACAACCAGTCAGACCAACATTTAGAACTGAGGCAGGGCATTTGGTCTTGTTGCAAGTGGTAGCGATTGGAATACTGGTTTGAATTATGCTTTTCTCAGCTGCCCCTTATTTTAAATCTGCTCCATTGTTTGCTTTGCAACATTCCTTTAAAATAAAAATAAGACATGTCATAAATTTGTGGATATTTCAACAATCCCTTATTCAAATGTATGATTCAACAATCATAAAGTTTCTTGCAACTGCAGTTTTTATGAAAGGCAAAGCAGAAATCCTTTAGAAGACTTTTGTGATATAATTTTGCAATCAGGAAATTCTCTTAGTTCAAGTTTGGATTTCTTACTATAAAGCTTCTACCCACTGGTTTTTATCTAACTGTTGAGTGCTCGAGAGCAGTGGTCCTCAACCTTTCTGGCTTTGCGGACTGACAGTAGCAGCGGCAGAGGCGGGGAAGGAGAGGGGATGGTTCTGCAAAAGTGGTGGGGCCATGCACTTGCGCACACCTGCTACTTGCAGAAATGGAACATCGCGCACTTGCTCACTTGCCTATTGCTTGCATGACCTGGTTCCCAATGGGCTGCCGCCCAGTACCAAGCTACGGCCTGGGAGTTGGGGACCTCTGCTCTGGAGAATAAATCCATGTCTTGCCACCCTCCACTCTGTCAAGCCTTTATGTATGGAAATACAGTTATTATGTTTTCCCTCAGTCTTCTCTTTTTTAAGCTAAACATACCAAGTTCCTTTCACTGTTTGGATTTAGCTTTCAAACCCATACCATTTTTGTTCCTCTTCTCTGCATACTTTCCAGGTCCTCAACATCCTTTTTGTATTGTGGTGTTTGGAATTGAACACAACTAAACACTGAACTGAATACAGTTTGGAACTATAATCCAAGTGTGGTCTGACTAGTGCAACATAGAGCAATACTATCACTTTCTGTGATCTTGATCCTATACCTCTATTGATGCAGGCCAAAATGACATTGGTTCTTTGGGCAGCTGTAGCACATTGCTGGTTTATGCTTAATCTGTGACCTACTAGGTAGGATATCCAGATCCTTCTTACAAATGCTTCTAAGGTAGGTAACCAACTACATGTACTTGCACACCTGCTTTTTCCTCTCTAAGTGCAAGATGTTACACTTTTCATCATTGAGTAGGAGTTGTTGGATAAGGCCCAATGTTCAAGTCTATCTAGATCCTTCTGAATCTTGAGCCTATCTTCTAGGATGTTAGTAATCCCCCCCCCCAGCTTTATGTCATCTGTAAATTGTATGATTATCCTTTCTGTTCCCTTATCTAAGCCATATATGACTAGGACGGGACCTAGGACAGAACCTGAAGTACTGTATTGCATAACTCCTTGTATGCAGACATAGACCCACTAAGGACTACATGTTGGCCTCAGTTCTCAGCAACTGAGATCCATCCGGTAGAGAGGCCATCCATCCCACATTGTTCCAGTTTATCAACAAGATGTCTAGTCAAATGCTTAATAAATCTAAATACATAACATCCACGGCATTCTCTTGCACCAACATCTAGTCACATGTCAAAGCTTTAAGACTTGTTCTGGCATGACCTCTTTGTGACAAATACATACGAATCATCTTATTTGTATCTTGTGTGCAAATAGATCCTTTTCTAGGATTTTCTCAGTTATTAATATCAAGTTGATATTTCTGTAGTTTTCTGGGTCTATTTCCTTCCCGGGTTTAAAATAATGAAACAACATTGGCTTTTCTCAAGTCTTCTGGTGATTTCTCTATGCTCCAGGCCTTCTCAAAACTTTCAGTCAGTGGATCTGAAATGACATCTGCCAGTTCCTATAGAATCATGGGATGTAATCCATTTAGACAAGAATTCATTCAGTACACCTGAAAATTTGGGCTTTGCCATCAATATACAACATTTTTGTCTGGACTTGATTGTGCATTTGGAATCAAATTAAGGGGAAATAGTAAAGGGTTGGTTGTTTTCTTGCAGATGTTTCATTACCCAAACTAGGTAACATCATCAATGCTAGCAAGAAAAGAAATGTCTGCAAGAAAACAACCAAGCTCAGAGAGCACCAAAGATCCTTAATTTTCCCTGCAAAAAAATCCCCAAAAACATACTGAAAAGTTTTAGCTCCAGTGCGCTATCATGCAGAATTGGCATGTTGATAGGTTTCCAAGGGATCTGTTTTGGATAATTTTGGATATGAGTAGGATTTGGGGTTTTTTTTTGCATTCTCTCTCTTCCCCTTAAACATTCCCATGTTTTATAGTACTTTGCTTTTTGATCTCCTATTGATAGTATGGAACAACATGTTTTGCTTTGATTAGTAGGAAATTGAAATTGGAATGGCCATGTATTTTTCTCTAGTTTGATCAATTGCAATTGCTGATTAAATCAAATTTGGTTCGGTTCACGCCACAGACAATTTTAGCAGGTTGTACAAACAAAACATTTGAGAGACCATTTAAAGATCTGTATGCGCTCCTATATCTGACAGATTCACTTAAGTCCAAAACTAGTTAATAGATAAAGAATTTTTAAAAGGAGAAGTGTTAAAGGTCTTTTACAATTACACTTGGACAGCAGACAACAGAGTTAACATGCATTTTAATACATGCCCAAGTATATAAAATAACATATGTAAATATCAACAAATTTTATATTTCTTTCTAATTATTCTTTTCTCTTTTTTAATAATGCATAAGAACAGGGGTTCAAAAAGAGCAAGCATTGGCTTAAAAAAGAAAAGAAGTTATTTGGTTGTATGAATAACATAAATGTGTATGTTTTGCCATGAAAGCACAAATAATGTATGCAAGAAAAAGGGGTATAATAGCCTTCCCATGAGGCTACTATAACGGAGAATTTATATATTACTGAAACATGCAGTTCAAGAGCAGGTAGTAAAATGAGACCAATTGCTCAATAATTATGTAAGTCAGCTAAAAGTTGGCCAAATTTCGTTTTGACTGGATTCACAATTTACATTAAACAGTAGGTTTTTTTAAACTGCGACAATCATAACAAATGGGTTCATACAAATATAAATAGATTGTTAATTAGATGTCATTGTATTGGGGTCAGTTGTTGCTGCAGCAACAAATGTTCCCTCTCTTGATCTATCTTCTATAATACTTGGCAGCTTCTCCAAGATCAATCCTGTATTATCTGTGTACCTACTTTCTTCCCTTTATCTGTCCACTGTCTTCCATTTCTCCCACTTCCCTCAACTATGCCAAGTGTAGCAGTTGTTTTTTAGACCGCCATCTGCTTGAACCAGATGCACAAAGTATATGGATCTTTACCTGCCTCCCCATTGGTTCAAAATTGATTTATAAATGGGACTGGGAGTCTATAGTACTCTTAGTCCCCATGTCCAGATTCATAATTTCAATCATTTGGAATGAGAAAGCAGACTGAGAAATAGGGCTGAGCTTCTGTTTCAGTATGCTAATACTGAAACAGAATCATCAAATTCCTGGGTGTGCAGTTAACAAGTAGGCTGGCTTGGTCGCTCAACAGCGAGATACTGGTGAAGCGGGCACAGCAGTGCCTGCATTTTCTGTGTTGCATGAGAAAAGCACATCTTCCTTCCTCTATCCTTACCACTTTCTACAGAGGGACACTCAAGAGCATCCTGTCTTATAGTATCACAGTCTCGTTTAGAAGCATCACTGCTTCAGACAGGAAGGCAGTGCAGAGAGTAGTTAGAATGGCTGAAAAGATTATTGACAGTTCCCTCCCTTCCATCCAGGACATAGGACATAATGTTGCTTGAGCAGGGTCCACAAGATTGTCTCGGACACTATACATCCTCTTCATGACCTGTTTTCCTTGTTACCTTCTGGGAGGAGGCTATGTGGTATCCGAAGCAGAACATCCAGATTCAGTCACAGCTTTATTCCATACAGTATTAACCTTGTGAACTCTAAAGCTTCCTCCTTTTGTTATGTATTCAAGATGGACAGTGATTAATATTTATATGTCACTTATATGTAAAGGGTGTAGGTATATATATATGTTGTATATATCATGTTTAAATGTGTGTTATGTATGTGTACACTTTTGAGAACAAGCAATAACATTTCATTTTTAATGTGTTCCATTGTGCCCACAGGGAAAAAATGACAATAAAGGTTATCTAAAAAAAATCTAATCTAATCTAATAATAACCTAAGGATTTTTGTGAAGAAGGTGCAAATTCAGAGAAGGAAAGGCCTATAGGTGGGAAAGTTAAGAAGAAAATCAAGTGAGAAAGTTGAGTTGCACTGGAAGCCTGTACCTTTTGTTAATTTTATTTCTGCAACAATCTTTAAACTGGAGGTACTTGAGAGAAAAAAGAATAGAGATTCTCCATGCAATTTTTCACTTTTAATGACTGTCTTTTATAACTGAAATATTTCAAATGTATAAACACTGGAGTGGAGTAGAGAAGAAACGTTCATCTGTTAGATTTTCTCTCTTTATTCCCAATTCTACATATAAAAAATAATATTAATTGCCAAGGCAGAATCCTAAACTCTTCCTACCCACACTCATGGATGCACACAAACTACTTTATTTGTGTATAATGCAAACCATAATTTTTTAACCCACAACAAGAGGTCTGGCATGATTCACATTTAATATCAAGGTAGTATTGGATTTAGTGTTCTCTGTGATTAAGGCTGCTGTTATTTTCATGTCTTCAGGTGAATGAAACTAGAGTTTAAAAATTTAATAACTCTCCCATCTTTTCCCATCCATAAACCACACAAATGCAGTTATCAGTAGCAGTACAATCATGTTTTTATTGGCACAAGTAGGCATAACAATCTTATATGAAAATGGACAAAATGATTATCAAATAACTGTTTAGAATGTATGTTTCTGCCTTTGTCCATCAGGCATTTCCCTGGAGCTTAAGCTACACCTGACCCAGGATAACTTAGGCATCTCCATCCTGATCTTCAGAGCTTCTTCGTCCAAAATCCATCCAGTTTGGAAAATGCGTATCGTCCTCATTCAGATTATTCCCCATAGCAGCAAGTTCAGCTATTGGACAGTAGACAGGTGTTAATGGAAGGTAGGTGAAATGGTTCTAACTACCCTGAATCTTTGGAATGATTAATTTGATTCTCCATATCCCCAAAGAAATAATACTGTGGACTCCTTGTGCTCTCTGAATTTGGTTGCTTGCTTGGTTGTGTGGTAAAAATTTTAGGGCACTGACGGTATTATCTAGTTAGGTAATGAAATGTCTGCAAGCAAACAGCCAAGCTCAGAGGGCACCAAGGATTCCGAACTTCAGCCCTGAACTACATATATTTTTTTCTGTTGGAGCAATACTGTCATTAAAAGCTTTAGTTTCTGAAGTAAATTTTTGAAATAGAAGGAGAATTTTCACAAAGAAAGATTAAATTACCCTTATCACATGCAGTGGTATCAGTTGCTATTAAAACTTAGTTTCTGCAATACATGTATTCTGAATTTTATCCTCAATCTGCTGTTCATATGGCTACTTAACTGAAGAAACAAAAGTAATGTTGGGATTTTGAAAATTAAAACTAATAGAGATTTGTTGCCTGCCAAGGTAATAGCGGGGCAAAAATTACTTCTCTCAAAATTTACTCAGGCAAGTTAATTAATATACTAAGAAAGTGCATTAAAAAGCGACTGATGTGTGCATTAAAAATGAACTGTTGCAGTGAGAAATACAAAGAACTGTTAGTAACAGGAGCTGGTTATTTGTCAACTCTATATGAGATCATCCTCCTGTGCAGAATATTTACACCTTAGCAAGAATCCCACCCCCCTTTTAAAACAAGAGCCCAATAAATTACTAAATGCACGGAAGTACAGTACAAATAAAATAAGCACGATAGGAGGGAAACGGCTGAAAGCTGAGCAGGAATTTGATTTATTGCTACTCTGGTCATCATTTCATCTGTAAAATCAGATTATATTCCATGGCTTGAAAGAATCCCATTCACAATTCAGGTGTTGCTAATCCAAAATTAAAAAGAACCCTTATCTTCATTCTTACTAAGCATCTTCCTTAGGAATGGCCCACCCCATTATTAAGAACTTCCAAGAAAGTGGAAAAGGTAACTTATCTTACAGGCATACAGGTGAGGCAAGAACTGGGAGATCAAATGCTTCTGGTCCTGAGACAGCTGCATTGGCCAGTCCCGCCTGACAAGTCCCACACCTCTTTGCATCCTGTCCGGTCCTGGAATAACTTTTGCTTGAGATTCAGATCTTAAGAAGCTGATGCTGAGAAGAATGGTCAGTAACAGGCCAGCAAACATCTTGGCATGCATATCTAGGGAAAAAAAATAAAATGCTGTTTGTTGAACAGCCCATCCCTTCCAGGCTTTTTCCTCAAATCCCAAAATGACTCTTCAGTCAACTCTCCAGAATGATAATTTGCCTAGGTTTCTAAATTATTTTCTGTGTCCTGGAAAAATGTGTTTTTTGTTTTCATTCTATATAAATTCATATAATGAATTTTTAAAAGTTATGGCTCTCCTTAAAGTTATGTAGCCCCTTCTATCATATCACCAAGCTTGAATTTCAAGTGTGTCTGCAAATCCTTCTTCCGCTGCATAAAAAGTCTGGCTGAGTATTGCTAGTTAGTCGTTCGGATAATGCAAAAATTAAAATGAGGGAAGAAAAATATAAGGAAATGTAAATAACAATGGACTAATGATCATTTATTCCAGAAGGAAGGTGTCTATTTTAACAGCACGGCAGCACTTACTTGAGCTTGGCTGATTTGGGGAAGATGGAATTCAAAAGATTCAAAAGAAAGTGATAGCAAACCATATTATTGCCCATAAACATGTAAAATGCATGAATTGTTTTGTGCACTAAATCAGAAGTCCCCATCCTTTTGGGCACCAGGGACCGGTTCCATGGAGAGAGGTTTTTCCGAGGACCAGAGGGTGTGTGTTTTGTGTGCTGCCTGCATCTTGCAGATAGAGCTTTGCTTCTTTGTGCAGCCTGGTTGGTGGCATGCCGCGGCCTGGTACTGGTCCACAGACCGGGGGTTGGTGACCCCTGCACTAAATAGTTACCTTAAGGTGGCCTTTCTTGAAAGCCTAATTTGTTTTGATTTTTATATAGATCAAATAGGTTGTCTTGTTCCAACAACAGTTGGAAATGTAATTGTTCTGATCAGGTTTAAAATAAATAAAAAGTAAAAATAGCCAAAGCTGAAGGGGCTTTGGGTGATACTAGGCATGGAAATCAGAAATAACAGCAATTCTGAATCAAGGGGCCTAGAGGGAGGAAACTGGAGAGATTGGGGGCAGATGAGTTAGTGGAATATGTTATGCTGAAGCATCAGTAGTGGTGAGTGAAGAAAAGGCGGAAGAGCTAAATTGGATTTAATCTATTTCAGAAAAATTGCAGGTTCAATACTGCTACCTTAAAGAAGATCATGGTTCAGTCCAGCTTTTCCTAGTTAGTGGGTCCCATTGGAATCAGTGGTATTTGTTCTGATTATTTAAATCTATTTGTTTTGAATATTAATGGTAGGGCTGTATTCAACAATAAAACACCAGCCTTACAGGCCTAACAGTTCCTTCTTCATTCCTAGCATCTAGCAGTCAAATAGGAAATATGTCCAACTGAAATCTGCAGAACTGCTGCCACTCGACATATGGATCATACTGGGCTAAAAAAGACGAATGGTGGCTTCCTAAATTCCTACTCAACATAACTGTAGGCTATTTAATTTTTCTGTTTTTGATGGATTTTGGGGTAAGAAAGGAGATGGGCAAAGAACTGGTGAGAAGGCAAAGGAGAATTAGAAATACAAGACAACATCTTAAGTCCTCATCAATTTTCTGTAAGTGAGACGGTAGATTAGTAATCATCGATTATTAAATTAGAGCCACCATATTATACTGGAATATTTATGATTTATCTTAATATTCTGAAGGGGAAAAACTCAAAGAAAACAGTGGAATATAATTTATGCAGATATATTTGTTTGTCTGTCTATATATCAACAATATTCTTCATCATTTTTTCCTACTTGTTACTTGTGAATATTTTTTTCTTCAAGAGCTTTATTTCTCTGAATTGTGCTTGCCCAATCTGATATGCTCTGGGTATGTGTGAGACAATTCCCATTTTTATTACTCAGCATAACAAGTTTTATGATGTGGGATTAGCAGGCAGGAGTAAAGTGGCATTTAAACATTACTCTAATTGTCTTGGGAATATAGAATGATAAAGATTTAAAACTGATTCATATTTTTCATCTTATTTTCCTTTTTAAAAATCAATTACTCATTTACAGTTTTCTATCAAGAGAACATACAAATTTGTGTGCTGGTATGGTTTAATGAATCGGCCTAAGCTTTAAAAGGTAGAAAAGAACCTCATGAACATAGTTAATAAGCAAAAAGGATGAATCTTCTAAATTAAATTAGAATTTCTGTGGGGAAATAAGATAGAAACCCTGTCATTGCAAGAGAAAGTATGATATCACTTATTATTTTAGACTGGCAATTTGCCTAACCCAGATATTCCATCATCTTACCTATAGGAGAGTTAGGTCCTGGCTGTGCTCCACTTGCAAGAGGAATTCTGCTTTTTCTAACATTGCAATCTGCTCCTTTTAAAGAGCAGGGGAGTTGGGATGGCCCAACCCATTCAAGGAGAACCTCCCATGGTTCTCCAGCAACACCCTCTAATGTCAATGTTGTGTACTCAGTTCAAGCCCTGAAAGTCTTCCCACCCACTCCTTCTCAATGGTTTAATGATTATAGATGAATGTTGCTTTCTGGATTGCAGGATTATTTTAATTAAAATTACTTTTCTTGAAGCCAGTAGATCTGCAACTCCTTTTTTGGTACAATATATATATATATTTGTTTTTGTAGATTTTCACGGGTACAGGTATGTAGGTCTTGGCTATTCGGGTCTTTTCCCATGTAAGATTGAGAGTATCTTGGCGACGTTTCAACGAGGTCCCACTCGTCATCTTCAGGCTGGGGTCTTCGGCTTCGTGCTTGTGCAAGCACACTTTGCTCGCACACTTTGCCACTACGCTGTGTGTTCAATTCTGCCCCCCTGCTCTTGTTGTTCATCCCCATCCTATTGGGTCTTGGGCTTGCTGTTCTTTCCTACCCCCTCTCTCTTTCAAACGTCCTTCCCATGTTCCCACAACTGCCCGTCACGTCTCCGTTACTCCTAGGACTAATTATATATATATATACAAACACCCACGAAAACCTCAGAAAACACACACACACACACACACACATATATATATATGATACATATTTATATATTGCTGATAGGAGGCCCACTTCTTCTTGGCCAGGTTTCTATTTGAAATGGAATTGAATGGAACAGAATAACATGCTGAGGCTGTACTTAAAAAGCTAGCTAATAGGACCAAGATAAATGTGATCTGATTTAAAGTTAAATTTAATCAATATAATTATTCTTCAGTCATTCAATTTCTCTGACATAAAACATTATAATCTAGTAGCAATGTTTGGATATCTTTGGGGGTTTTGTGTGGATCTAGGTGTTTGGTTTATGCGTATCTTTATTAAGCCATGATTTCTTTTAGAAATCTTTGCATAATATACTATCCCATAAACATTGGATTAACCCCCCCCCCCATTGCCAAGTTTATTATGCAAGTCAAAATTAATCAACCTATAGGGCGACAGTGCACTACTCTGCTGCATGTATTCAAACAAAAGCTAGATGGACATTTTTGGGAAATTCTGTGGTTTCTTCCACTAGATTGGACTTGGCCTAAATGACTCAGTGATTTTATGGCAGCTTAAATCTGGATTCATAAATCCTACTAAATCACGGTTTCTTAAAAATCCACAACAGCAGATTCACAATGATGAACAGTTGTTTAGGCTGTAAGGCAAAAATAAATGAATTCCATACGGTATGAGAACCTACCCAGTGATTGGTTGGCAGGCCGAGCCAAACAATTTCCACTGCTTCTTCTCCATCCCTCAGTGCTTTCCCTGTTTTTCACGCATCTTCCACACTGCCTGCCATAACAGAATTGTCTCAAAAGTCAAAAACATCAGACATCAATATTTAGATGCAATGATAACAACGCATATTACTAGAGAAAATCATAATCAAACAAAAACCCCTTTGAACACAAAAGTAGCATGAAAGGACTTCAGCAGCAAACATTTTCTGTTTCAAGACAATATTCAGTATTCAAATATAATCTTATGATTATCTCTGCTTCACTATCATCACTATAATTTTCCAGATTCCTCTGACTATTTCACTGATATCTAAATAGATCATTTAGAATTTTGTTTTTAAATTGTTATGTTCTAGGTTTTGATAAGCTAAGCAATCCTAGATTTTTATCAGACTGCTGCCATGGAACTATTAGAGCTATAAGGCACTATATTTGTCCCTGCCAGTTGAATGCTGAGGTCCAAAAGATTCCAGAAAGCAGAAGAAGCAAATGAAGAATGTAGCACTGTATTAACTCAAGTTCCTTTTGTATATGCACTCTGTTTATTGTACATGTATATCAACGAGTTATAGTTTGTGTTGTGATGGTGCAATCTTGCCTTCATCTTGTTAATGAAAATGTTGGATGCTATGGATGTATCTGATGCAGACACAAGATTTGTTTTATACACCACCACCCTGAGTTAAAAGAGACATTATTATAGGAATGCCAATTCCATTTCAACTGATCTGAAGTGCCATACAGTTTTGAAGAATAGGCATTCTCACAATGGCAGTGAGCTTTTTCAGAAGAGACTTTTATGCAATCTTCTCTTGATCCTGATGATCTATAATGGTTTTGACCCTCTACATTTTTTCACTTCTGGTCCTTTGCATGGCATACCAAATTTCAATCCAGATTTTTCTAGTCCGTTGTTCCTGAAGTATTCAGTGTGGCTGGAGCATTAAACTAGAAGGATTGCAACAAAGATAGTAAACAACATTCTGATTTTTTTGAGCACAAAAGTGATAGCCTCTCCATTTTGTCACCTTTGGGAATTTTGTTTGTGTAATGGGTTTGATGGAAATGTCTATTTCCACTGTCTATTGGGAACATGAAGATATTCATTTGTCCTAGACCATGTAGTATTACGAAGTTATAAGTGAATCCACCATCCTTGATCATCTGAGCTTAAGGAACTAAGCTCAGCAGCAGCTGTTTCCTGTGCCTCCAGCATATTCCTCCCTGACTGACATACTTTTCAGGAATGGGCCTAGTTACGTTTATTTTACAACATTCAGACAAAGGAATTGCAGTAAAATTAATAAAACACTCAAAGATAAAAGATGGCAAGTG